TGGTTTTGCTAGTTTGTGTGTGTGTTGGACTGTTGTTTAAACTCTCATCGGCAGAATTAAAAGCAGTTTTTATTATCATAGCTGCCCACAAGTACTTGCAGACTTATTGGAGGAGATTTTGCCTGGTTTGTGCACTATCTACCCACAACATAGAAAAAAACCTTGAAGCCACACAAAATTGTCTTAGAAGCAAAACCTGATTTTATAGGTATTCTTTATACCACACCAGGGGTAAAATGCTCTGACAGAAACTTCTTTTTAAAACTTTGTGCTGCTAGGTCAGTTCTGGATACTTGGCAGTGTTCTGAGAACCAGAAAGGGAAGTGATCTAGCGAGGAGAATTTTGCCAATGTCACTGAATGCCTCTGATTAAACTCTTCCTGTGAGAGATGTGATACACAGCTATCATGAGCTGCTGTAGCTCAGCTTAGGCTTTGTCCCACAGCTGAGATAGTCTTGTCATTCTCCCACAATTGATCAGTTCTGTGTAAAATCATGAAAATGGTTTGTTCAGAATACACCAGTTTGTTCTAGATAACACAGGCTGTGTAAAGCTTAATGTTCTGTTTCTTACTTGTTTTTTTTGTTTAACAGTGAGTTAATTTCAGGATCACAGTCCTTGTCATCAGCATTTCCAGAAAGTTTGGTATAAGAAAGGTGATGACAGATTTCAAAGCTGACTTCATTTCACTAGTGATCAACAAAGATTAAAAGCATAGAAGAAGACATACCCTTTCTGGTAGAAATGCTTGTGTCCCTGTAGAGAGGACAGTGGTCAGTTTCTTTGTGAAGTAAAGCTTTGTTGTGTTTCCATGAAACTCAGGTAGCAATTAATTCTGAGCCATGGGTTTAAATGGAATGTTTTACAGGCAACAGTCTTTGCAATGTTGGTAGGTTGGTTTTTTTTTCAACAGATTGCAAATAATTGCAAGCTGAATTTTCAGATGTTGAGAAATTTTAATATGACTGTTCTATTCCTTAGCTCTGTTGCTGCAAAAATCCTGGTAATATTTTTTTAAAGTGTTTCTAAGAGAATTTAAGAAAAGTCAGGAGTTTGTTTCTCTGGTGGAGATATTCCACTCTCCTAATGTGCTTTGCTTGCTTCTTGTACTTATGGGGAGGGAGGTATTTCTTAATTTTTTTGAGTTACCTGATCCTAAAATATTCAGGAGGTGATAAAAAGATACCTTGAATACTCTTCTAAGATGATTGACATGGTTCAAAACTTGAGGGAAGACAGAATCTTGGGAGTCCCTGGGACAGCTTTGAGGGGCAGAGGTTTGGAAATGCTGTTTCACTTTATATAAACAAGATGACGAGTTCCTAACTCTAGAAACACCTTTTCTGGTGTCTGCAAGAAGGCATTTTAAGCTGCCTGGATCCATTTCTGATACAGGTATTTTCCTCTAAATCACTTCAGTTAGTTGGTCTTAAAGTGAATCCTTCTCTAACTGACCGTAGATAAGTCGGTTAAATGCTGCTGGGCATGTGGCTACCCACAGCAATCTCTAACTGACCGGAGATAAGTCAGTTAAACGCTGCTGGGCATGTGGCTACCCACAGCATTGCTGTGGCATAGATACTTTCGTTGCTTTTCAAAAGTTCTGTCTGTGTCCTTGGAGTCACTGCCCAATCCAAACTGATGGGAATGGAACTGCTTGGGGTGTGCAGACATTTCTGTGTACTGCCCAGGTCTGGGGAAACACTTTCAAGCCATGTTACCTGATTTCTTGTGGGCCTATAGGCAGAAAGTCTCAAGCTGTTGCTACTTGGCTTACCTAAACCATTCTATGATTCTCTGCCTTTTGGAACCCAGCATTTCTTAGGCTACATGTTGATAAGTGCAGTGTCTCCTTCAGTCCTCTCGGGGGACACAGAGCAGGGAAATGCTGCTTTTCCAGTTTCCACGGGTTTGAGGCAGCAGTGAGTTTTAGAGTGCACTGCTTAAATCAGTTTAGTGAAATGCGCTGTATGAAACCACTTATTGACTTCCAAGGAGTGTTTTTCTGCAGTTCATGTCCATGATTTCACTTGCAACCCAGCTGCACAAACAATGGCATCAGCACAAATGTACATGGTGGCAAAGCGTGGAAGAAGTTGAGGAGAGTGTATTAGGAACATTGTAAGTCAGCATTTCCCCCTGAACAAACTGGGATATGAAACTGCATTTCCTGGGATCAGCTAATGTGTCCCATACTAACAGTCAGAATGTAGCTCAGTCTGTAATAATTCCCTATGCTATGTGACACCATAGCTGCATCTTAGATGATGGGTTTTAATTCAGTCTGAGGTTCTGGGGCTTAATGTGAATTCTAACTGAGAAGGGAAGCCTACAGCTTAGGTATGTTGTGTATGTGAGAGCAGCTGTACAAATGTTCTGATCGGTTCTGATTCTCTGTTGAGAGCTCATGGTATAAAATCTGCTTCTTTTGCAGAGGACTATGTTTACCAAAAGGTATTATCAAGTAGGTTTTTTACTGCAGTGATATTTTTATTATGTATTTAATTTTGTCTTTAATCCAATTAGAGAAGTTTTACCAAGATGACAGTCTACACTTTTTGCTACCCAAAGTTTTATTTAAGACTGAATTATACTCTTTGAGAGAGATGAATCAGGCTAGGTGCAGACTGGTGATAGAATTTGGTTTCATTTGCAGTATTCTACAAGAGTCCTCTGGTGATCATCTGCAGTGCTTTTGCACAAGCTTACAGAACATGTGGTTTTGCTCCATTGAGATATGGGGAGTTTCAGATTTATACTTTCATTGATTGTGGATGTTAGAGAGGTGTGATAGATTTTAACCCGTGAAAAATACTTACCCTAGGGCTTTGTTTAAAAATAGAGTGACACGATGAAACCCATTCTTTGGTTTCCAAAGCCCTAGGTACAAGAGTCTTAGTTAACAACTGTCTCAGACAACTAAAATTGTCTGTAGTTTTGTTGTCTGATTCAAACAACTAATGTCATTCCAGAAGAGGGAAGTCTTGCCTGAAGCTGAGGTGCTATCACGATGGCATTTTTTATCTCAGGTCATAAATCCTGTGTACCTAGGTACTGTATGACCATGAGAATGCAGAGTGCCCAATCTGCCAGGAATGCAGATTGACTTCATGTTCTGTTGTAATCCAAATTACAGTTTCAGCCTTCACTAATCTTGCCAAATGTGTGCAAAAAAGAAGAAGTACTAGTCAGCTGTTTACCAATGTGTCCTCTTTGTTACTCTTTCAAGCTAAATGTTTTTCAATGTGCAATTCTCTCAGTGGACATCAGAGGATAATAGGTCAGGGAAACATTTCAGGTTTGAAAAATGACTTCTTTTGTCTACCAAAGGTAGTGGCCAGCATTTGGAAGAGTGGTTTCTGCTCTCTCAGCCCACTCCCTTTTGAAAAGTTGTCATAAGAACAGCCTGTTCCCATCTGCGATAAATTTTGACCTGGTGTCTCGGTAATCAGCCTTCCGTGGCAGCTTCCTTGTTTCTGATGTATTGAGTTGGAGTTCTGTTGTGATTTCTTTGCACTTTATCTGACATACTGCTCTTTCTTTGACAGAGGAGAAGAAAAAACTGGTTCGAGAATTCGATGAGAAGCAGCGTGAAGCAAATGAGACGGTGAGCACAGGGCTGGGCTTTGGCCTCTCTGTTGTTTGAAATACTGATGCCTTAAAAAGGGCAGCACTTCCAAATGTTACTTTTTTATGGATCCTATTCTGGAAGGCAGATGTTTGGGTTTTTTAATGTTTTATTGATCTGATAGGTATGTCTGTGTTTGTTAAGACTTGTGTATATGTATATGCACCTATAGATACAGACAGACATTCTTATGTGCCTTTTAAGTGCTCATTTTGAATGTTGCCTTTGCCTTGTTGAACAAAGGAGAGCGATAGAAGTGCAATTAAAATTGTTAGAGACTGCAGGGAGAACATGTAGATGATCTGTTGAGTTTTATTCCCTCCTGCTGTCTTTTTTCATGTTGGTTTTAGCTCATCTGATCTTTCTCTAACAGTCTGATGGTTAAGTATCAGGGATCTTGAAGTTTTCAAACCTCTATTGTATAGGTTTCCTGAACAAGGTGACAAGGAACAGCACAAAAAAAGCCAATGTGACTTGTCTTTTTAAGCAGAACATTATGGCTTAAGCTTTCTTTTCATATTCATGTGCTGTTTGTTAGGTTGGTTTTGAGTCATAAGTGAACATGATGCTTTATTCCCCTAACTTCTGGGCTTTATTGATGGGTATCTGTAGGTGATGTATGAGATGTGCAGCTCATGTTGTGAAAGAGCTCATGTTGGCATACAGGTTTAAGCATTGTGAGTTTGTTACAACTGTCATTGAAAATTGATGTGAAAATTTGTGCATTCAAAATGCATCAGGGTTTACAAATCCTGACTCCAGTTGCCAAGCCCAGATGTTCAGAGTCCCTACTTAGTGCCATGCTAACCTGTGCAATAAATTTGGAAGAGAAGGCTGAGGTATTCAACAACTTTTTTTACCCCAGTCTTCAATAGCAGCCTCTCTTCCCACACCTCTCAAGTGAGTGGACTGCAGGACGAGGACTGGGGCAGCAAAGTCCTTCCTTTGAAGGAATATCAGGTTCATGACCACCTGAGGAACCTGAGCACACATAAGTGTATGGGACCTGATTGAGATGCATCCCAGAGTCCTGAGGGAATTGGCTGATGTAGTTGCCAAGCCACTCTCCATGGCATTTGAAAAAGTCACAGAATCACAGAGTATCCCAAGTTGGAAGAGACTCACAAGGATCATCTAGTCCAACTCCTGGCCCTGCACAGGACATCTCTGAGAATCATACCATGTGCCTGAGAGCATTGTGCACATGCCTTTTGAGCTCTGTCAGGCTTGGGGCTGTGACCACTGCCCTGAGGAGCTGTTCCAGTCCCCTACCACCCTCTGGCTGAAGAGCCTTTTTCTAATAGCCAACTTAAACCTCCCCTGACACAGCTTCATGCCATTCCCTCAAGTCCTGTCACTGGTTGCCATGTCATGACAGTCACAGGTGACTGGAAGAAGGCAAACATTGCATCCTTCTTTAAAAGAGGTAGAAAGGAGGACCCTGGGAGCCTATCAGTCTCACTTCTGTGCCTAGGAAGGTCATGGAACAGATCCTCCTAGAAGCTATGCTAAGGCACATGGAGGACAGAGATGAGATTTGAGACAGCCAGCACAGCTTCACCAAGGTCAAGTCTTGCCTGACCAACATAGTAGCCTTCTGCAATGGAGTAAGTACATCAGTGAACAAGGGAGGGGCTACAGATGTCATCTATCTGGACTTGTGTAAGGCCTTTGACACAGTCTCCCACAACATCCTTCTCTCTAAATCGGAGAGATACGGATTTAAAGGGTGGACTGTTCAGTGGATGAGGAATTATCTGTGGGTAATATTTTTTCTTTACTAGCAGCTCCGAACAGCCAGCATGGCTTCTCTAAGGGCAAGTCTTGCCTGACCAACCTAGTGACTCCATCAGTGGACAAGGGAAAGGCTACAGATGTCATTTATCTGGACTTCTTTAAAGCCTTTGACACGATCCCCCACAACATCCTTCTCTCTAAATTGGAGAGGCATGGATTTGATGGGTGGACTCTTAGGTGGATAAGAACTTGGTTGCTGGTCACATCCAGAGGACAGTGGTCAACAGCTCAGAGTCCCAGTGGACATCAGTGACAAATTGTGTCCCTCAGGGGTCCATATGGGAACTAGTGTTATTTAGTGTCTTCATCAAGAGACAGAGGGATTGAGAGCACCTTCAGCACCTTGTGGATGACACCCAGCTGAGTGCTGTGATTGCCACACCTGAACGATGGGATGCCATCCAGAGGGACCCAGACAAGCTTGAGAGGCCCCTGGGACTTTCCATGAGGTTTAACAAGACCAAGTGCAAGGTGCTGCACCTGGGTCAGGGCAACCCTGGTGTGGCTGAGGGGTGAAGAGATCGAGATCAGCCCTGCCAAAAAGGACTGGGGAGTGCAGGTGGATGAGAGGCTGGACATGACCTGGCAGTGTGCAGAAAGCCAAACATGTCATGAGCTACATCAAAAGCAGCATGGCCAGCAGTTTGAGAGAAGTGATTCTGCCCCTCTACTCTGCCCTCATGAGATCCCACCTGGAGTACTGCACCCAGCTCTGGGGGCTTCAGCACAGGAGGGACATCGCCCTTCTGGAGCAAGTCCAGAGGAGGGCCAAGAAGTTGAGTAGAGGGATGGAGCACGTGTCCTATGGAGGAAAGGCTGAGAGAATTGGGATTGTTTAGCCTGGAGAAGAGGAGGCTCTGGGGTGACCTTATTGCAGACTTTTGGTACCTAAAGAGTCCCTAAAGAATTTTTACAAGGGCATGTAGTAATAGAATAAGGAGGAATGGCTTGAAATTGACGGAGGGTAAGTTTAGATTGGGTATTAGGAAGAAATTCTTCACTGAAACAGGTTCCCCAGAGAAGTGGTGGATGCCCCATCCCTGAAAATGTTCAAGGCCAGGTTGGATGGAGCTCTGAGCAACGTGGTCTCTTAGATGTCCCTGCCCATGGTAGGGGGTGGGAGCTAGATGATCTTTAAGGTCCCTTCCAGTCCAAACCATTCTGTGATTCTGTCTCTGTTGCACAGATGTGATGAGAAGCTGATACCCATCCTATAAATGCTTAAACTATAAGAAAGTGAGAACTGCAAATTTTGAAGTTATAGAGTGATGTTTCAGGGGGAAAAAAAATCAACCTTTTAAGCTTGGCAATATTTTTTCATGAGGCTTTCTGTATCTGAAAATCCCTCTGGGCTGAACAGCATTAGGCAGTGTGGTGTACTCAGTACTAGATAGGGGTGTATGGTTTGGGGTTAATCCCCTCACCCAGTGCAATAAAAACATTTGAATCCCTTCATCTGGTGGTGAGTTTTGAGTATAGCTGCTGGTAAGACTAGGTTGGATGCTTTCAAAAATCAACAGATTTTCTTTCGTTGAAGCTGCGGGAAATGGAGGAAGAACTGAAGTATGCTCCGCTGCCGTTCCGCAACCAAATGATGAGCAAAATCCGAGCCTACAGAAGAGACCTCTCCATGTTCCAGAGAGAGATGAGAAGCACAGATTTGGGATTGGGCCCTGGAAGTCAAAGCGATACGAAATACGGAATCTTCTCCACGGAAAATGAACAGAGTGTGAGGATTAGATGTAAATTTTGTTTAACGTTGCTGTGATTGTTTAAAAACAATATTGCAGATGTATTGTTTACAGTGTTTGTACTTTAAACCACTCAGCTTGTGTGTTTGTGTAACTCCTGTATATATCTCTCTGCCTGTAACACGAGTGTCTCAGGGAGGACAAAGAACACCTGCAAGTCAGGGGAGAGCTTTTCTGTTCAAAAACAAAGATATGAGGATAATCAAAATGGAACTAAAGCCACGTGGTTAGTAACTTGTGCTTCATTCTGTACTGAAATGCTTCGTATAATCATTCCACTACAGCAGTGACAACGCAGAAGTGCTGCTAGTGACTGAAGAAGTTAACTGATCTAGTTGTAGTCTCCAAAGCTAGCAAAGAGTGAGAGTCATGCACTGAAGAGGCTCTTTGTTTTAAGCAATCTCAGTGTAAATAATTTCAAGAAAATATAAGGAGTTATCCTCTGGCACTTCGTGTACTATGGTTGTGCTGCTGCAGTGCAAGAAACACACTGATTTTTACCAGATATGCATAGATACATCGGAGCTAGTGAGATTGAATCTCATTATCTTCAAAGTGCTGTCATCTATGCAGAAAATTCATGGAGGAGGGATTTTCTTTTGTCTGCCTTAGATAAGGAAGGTTTGAGGGAGGCTCTTTCCTTAGTATTTCCTTCTGCAGTAGCTTGGTAAATTTTTGCATTTGATTCCCCTAAAACCTGAGAGCAGTGTGGTAATTAGACTTTCTGAAGCTTAAGAAAATACTTTATTTTGAGTTAACTTTTGACCCCAAGGTCAGCAAACATTTCTTGTCCTCTAGCCCAGGCTACTGGCATTAAAAGAGGATCTTTGTTACTTAGCAGTCCATCTGTTAGTGCTGTTTGTTCCTAATCCTTTGGACTGTAAACTCTTAATGATCTCCCTGACAACGAACTGTCAAGTCACAAATAAGGCTGAGTTTAGATATGAATGGAAGGAAAAGTTAGCATCTGGAAAGGAAGATGTTATTTTCATGTAAGTGTTCTTTGATGGGAAAGTAAATTATTTCAAAGACAGTTTTTTGTAAGTGTTTTAACTCTTTAGCCACGTATCCTTTTTAGAGATTTAACCAGATTTGGCCATAATCTTACAATGTGAAGAAGGCTCTGTCAAAGCTGACTGAGCTGCATCAGTTAGCGTGAGCAGCAGGTAGGGCTGATACAAATGGAGTCACGTCCTAGCTTTTGAGTATGTCAGAAGCCTTTGTGCTTAGTAGCTGAGCAGAGGTTTATTTTTCAGACTCATCTGCAGTCACAGAGGGTGCTGCTTCTCCAGGGCACAGACAGTCTGAACAGAGCCAGTCAGAGCATCGAGCGCTCACACCGGATTGCTGCTGAGACGGATCAGATCGGCACGGATATAATAGAGGAACTGGGGGAGCAGCGGGAGCAGCTGGAGCGCACCAAGAGCAGGGTAAGCAGGGAAACTGTGGGCATTGCTTTGAAACAACCTGGTGTTAGCTTAGGGGGATCTGGATGCCAGTAATTACTCTTGGAGACCTCCCTAGGCATAGTAATCCAATGGATGTTCCTAGAGGCCACATATCTATGCTGTCCTCATGAAAGGAAAATGATTACGGTAGAAGCACTCAAAGCATGGTGCTCAAATGTCTGCTACTCTGTCTCTGCAGGATTGGATGTTAGACCTATAAACCTGCTAAAATAAAAATAGCATTCTTGAAAAAATTACAGCTTAAAAAACGGCTAAGGAGTTGCCCACCACTACGTTACTAGTAAAAGTTCCCATCTGGGAGGCAGTTAGCAAGTTTTTGTAATAAAATTAAATTTCGTAGAAGCGTAATTACTTAATTACTAACCTTCCAGTATTTGTAGGGAGGGAGAAAGTGGTGTCAGACAAGGTGCCCATTCCTCATCCTTGGTTCAAGTACCTCTGCTTCTACTGTGAAAACTTTAAAAACTACTTCACTTGTTTTGTTTGCACACATAGTCAAAACTGAGAATTTGATTTGTTGAAGTTACAGACTGATAGGATTTTCTGTGTGTACAAGGGATCCTGAGTGTAAAGCTTGTAGGTGAGTTATTTGCAGGGGACGCTGAGTTTGGCAAGTAAGCACACTCAGCCAAAATGAAAATACCCCTTTTCTTGGGAGTTTTCTCTACTGGTTGCAACAAGGCCTGTAGCTTTCTCATGTAAGTAGTTTTATAATTTCAGTCAGAATTTGATCTGCCCTGTTCCCAAATTTGGGTTGGAGAGCAGGAAAGGAAATTCATCTTAAGATTTATAGGGATAGTTTTTGTCCTGTTTCTAAGAACAAATATCACAGTCCTTCAGGTGTCTCAGTCTATCAACAGATTGTTCATAGGAGAATAGAGTTGTTTAGGTTGGAAGAGACCTTTAAAATTGCATCTAACCATTAACCTAGCACTGCTATGTTCATCACTAAACCATGTCTGTGACTTCTGTTGTGAGCCTGTTAGGCATTGTATTGCTGAACTAGAAGCAGAGTTTCTTCTTGCTTGATCTTTCATAGTGAAGACTGAAAATCTAGTAAGCTTTGAGTGGACTCAGTCGTTTTCTTCCCATAGTCCATCTTAGTGCAAAGTAACATGCAGTTTTGCAGTTGAGGGCAATGGTTTAAACTACAGAGGAACTGTGCAGGCAGGTGTCTGTGAGGTAAGTGACCTGGCTTGCCCTTCACTCCCCTTGAAGTTTTGGAAGTGGAATAGCAAAATCTTACCTGGAGACCTCCAGTGGTCATACATCATGAATCCTCCCTCTGTCTGTGAGGCAATAGCTTTTTCAGTTGTTTATAATCTCACTTAACTACATGCTTCTTGATAGCTGACTGGATATACTAGACAATTTCTGAGCATTACAAAGCTGAAATGGATTATCTATTAACAGTTCATAGCTCATACCTGTAACAGGTAACACTGTTTAACTGGGTCACTTAGACCTGTCAGTGCACCATGGTTCTTTCTTTGCTGGGTATTGAACAGCGTTTCAAACAGGTCAGTATGCACTGGGGTGAGTGAACACATCAGCATTGTTTTCTTCTGGTGTCAGTAAATAGAATAATGAAATGAAATTTAATGAAAGGAGCTAACACCAACTTTATGGTATTTGTAGATCAACTAAAGAGGCAGAAAGTGAGAGACACTGCTTCCTGCTGCTGTTGTGTGTAGAAAACAGTGTTGTCTCTGAATTTTTAGACCATGATTATCCTTGGTCCCGTTATTAATCACAGCATTTCAACACCAGCTGCTTTCAGGTGCATCTTTACAGGCTTGGTGTATGCTTGTTCAACTAACAAATAACTTTTGTGTCTTCTTAGTTGGTGAATACAGGCGAGAACTTGAGCAAGAGTCGCAAGATTCTGCGCTCCATGTCCAGGAGGTGAGTAGTGTGACTGCCAGCAGCACGGGGCAAGGAGCATTGGTGCCTGCTGGTTTTAGGGGAAAAAAAATGTCAGGGAGGTTTTAAGGAACGTGTAAGTAGAATGTGTGCCCACATGCAGATGGTAATTTGTGTGTTTTTCTCTGGTTTTTACTTAATGGAGTACAGGCAGTTGGACACTACTGAATTTGTGCTGCTTAGTCAGGATAATGTAGAGTCTTTAACCATCCTGCATGATAAACTGTGGTGAGGACATAAGCAAGTTACAGTAAATTGCTAATGTTGACTTTAGATGCAACTCTTCCTTATTCAGGCTGGAAAAAGCTGTGCCATAAATCACTGCAGCATTAAGTGAGTTAGATGTCTGATGACACAGACAAATTTGTTTAGACCATAGCAGTGCCCTAGAGCAGCTAGGCTGTCCTGTGAGAAACTCTGAGCCTGACCATATATTTTTTTGATGACTAAACCTTGGCCACTTAAGTGGACTTGCAGTTTCTTAACTATATTGTTTAATTCACCTTATAAAATAGTTCATGGATTGTATTTTCAGTAAGTACTTATCCCCTGACAACCTTTCCTTTATGCCCATTTCTAAAGGAAGTTATGATAGCTGTAGAGTTTTCATAATAAGAGCACCATAATAAGCTTTGCTTAATTGAATCGAGTAGGCACAAACAGCAGAGTGATCTGCCTTCTGTGGGGGTGGGGGAAGAGGAACAGAACTGCTACTGTTGAAACAATTTCTGGGAAAACATGAGTAGTAAAACTACAGTTTGTCCCTTTCTGCTTGTTACGAGCTATTTGAAAAGCACTATGTGGTCTAGCTGAAACAGGGACTATGCCTATAGGAGGTAGGATGTTTTCATAAATGAGGGGGAAAAGAAGCTATCTTAGAGTATTTTTTTATTTACTTCTTAACTCTAGAGTAACCACTAATAAGTTGTTGCTGTCAATCATCATCATCCTGGAACTGACCATCCTAGGAGGTGTGGTCTACTACAAATTCTTTCGCAAGTGAATCTTCATGACCAAGATGAGCTTTTTCACTGCTGAAGAACAGGATGGGCTGTCTGTTCCCTTTGACTGTCTAAGGATTGAACTGTCTGACAAGACAGCACATTCAGCTGAAACTGTACTGACATAGAGAGACAGAGAATGGGAGTAAAAGGAAAATACAGAACTACTGGTATGAGTAATAAGAAGGTAATAAATATTTTATTGTCTCATTTTGTATATACTTCACTAAATGAATAAATCTTGGTATGTAATAAAGCAGCCACCGATTAGTGGAAAAGCTAGTTTATTTAAAAATCAAGAAGGTAACAGTATTTGCCAGTGGTGACAATCTATCCACTCAAGTGCCTCAGCAGAGCTCTGTAATGTCCAACAGACCCAAGGCTATGGGGTCTTAAATCCTCACTTGCTCTTCACTGTCAGATTCATCTGGAGAACTGGGTGTTGGGAGTTCATCAAAAGCAATGTGTGCTCCTTCTCTCGACTGCCCAAAGCACGTTGCTATCACATCCACTGCAAGATTCGCAGTTGCATTCACTGCCTCTTGAGATGCTCCAAGCAGTGGATTGACTTCAACCATGTCTACAGCTGAAAGCATTCCTGTGAAAATGATTTACAGCTCTGTTACTGTGACAAAGGGTACATTGTCCTGCAAGGTGTCTTTGCAGCCTTTTATTCATTGCAGCAATTCTGGTATTCAGGCTTGTGACTAACTCTACTCCTCAGCTAAGATTGGCTCTTAGGTGAGGGATGAGGTTATTGTTCTCCAGTGCAAGTTTGTGGTTTTAATTTGGTTCTTTCTTACGTCATCACTACCTCACTCACTCATACTTTTAGCATTCAGGAAAAGTAAGTTTGTTCCACGCACACTTAGGAGAAGAACGTTTGTTAATCTTTTCTCACAGTCCAAAAACTACGTGGTATAATATAGTCTTACCTAGTAATCTTTTGCCATCCTATTTGTGATTCTATTGAATCTATTGTCTGGTTGGGATTTTTTTCCTACTTTTACTGCAAATAACATTGTTTAAACACATTAAATAAAAACTCCATGGCATAAGGCAGAAAGTCCTCATATGTTGAGTCAACTGCAGTATATTTTGTGAAAGCTTGATTTGTTCGCTTTGAATCCTAGAATGGAACTTAATACTGTTTGAAATTGTTTGTAGATTATTTTTTTATTACAGATGCCTATTTGTGCATCTCACCTCAAGTGCTTAGGAACAGGGAACAGTGTTAGAGATTTTTGGCATTAGTTGTTGATATATTGTGTAATTTGTTTCCTTTTGGTAAGCCGGAGTTGCTGCTGATTCAAACACCATAGAACCTCTTTTCCCCTTACTGAAGGTTGAATTGACTTTGCAGGCACCTTTGCTTTGAGTATATTTATCTTACTACCTAGTTATGCAGGAAAAACATAACCAATAGGAGCTCTATGCAGTTTGTCCTGTCCTTGCTCAGCACCTACCTGTGTTGTGTATTTCCTCTGTGATGTACATGCCTTCTCTGTAAGTTAATCCACCCAGAACAGGAGTCCCCGTTGCTGGAGCCAGTGAGGGATCAAAAGCATCAATGTCAAAACTCAGATGAATTGGTCTCTGTCTCCTGAGACAGAATAAAACAAGAGAAGCAGTCTTAGAACCTTAAAAACCTTTTCTACCTCCATTTCTTACTGTCCATGCTGATCAACAGCTGTGGTGCTAAAGGCTTCCCCTGGGCCCTACACCATGTCTCACATACATTTAGAAGGATTTTTTTTGAAAGATCTTCAGACTTTAAAACATCTCTTAGCTCATAACTTTCCCCAGTACATTGGGAAAACAGAATTTTGTCTTTCTAGCTTCACTGAGTATCTGCTCAGGTGTGATTTGGTTGAAGATAAGTACTTCTAACCATCTTATCTGGTATTTGTCTTCTTGTTGGAAAAATGCAGAGCAATGTATGACACAATGCAGCCTTTTCTCCTTTTGTACAGAAAGCCAGGGTGAAAGGCTGAAACACTGATGTACATGGTATCTAGTATGGAGAAAGCACCAAGCTTGAGGATTTCACTGATTGATAGCTCATCAAGATGAGTGGGGCATTCTGTGTTTTTCAGGTCAGTATTTGAAGGCTGCCTCTAAACCCTGCCTTGTAGCCTAGCTGATGAAGAAGTAAAGGATAATCTCAAACCTAAAGTGTTAGTTACTTACACTCTATTAAGTCTGCCAACCGATGACAGCTTAATAAATTAGACACTGCTTGTCACTCACATGAGTTATTTAACTGGTAGACTGTGTACTTCCAGCTTACTGCAAGATGCTTAGTAGGGAGAGGCATCTGGATTAGCATCTCTGTACGTGGTAGAGCTGCAGGTAGGAAGGGTGAGCAGACCTTGAGAAAATGACAGCATGCAGCACAGGTTCTAACCTGTGGTGTGAGGTTACCCTTTCTCTCACCCTCTTCCTCTGTTCCTAACTAGCATGATTTACTCCACTGACCTGTTCTCCAAACTTGAACAAGGTTACCAAAGAGAGGAATAGTGAACTGCAGGAAGGGAGTGGTTACAGTGACCTTCACTAGCTGCACCCAAGGTAGCAGCCACCATCAGGACAGATCTGTGAGCACAGTCTGAGGAGGAAGCCATCAAATGCTTTCACCTCACATACAGCTGAATTCACGTGACTGTCAAGCTGCTGTGTGTATTTTTAAAAGCATAATGTGTATCCTGGACTCTTGAGTTTATTCAAACATCTTATCAAACTGAAGAAAATGCAAAATTCCTTAAGAAACAGAACTAAATTGCAAAAAACAGAGCCACAACTCTAGTGACTAATGTATCCTGTCTCATAGCTTTTTGTCCAACACTGTGAAATGGTTCCAGTTCAAGATGTGGATGATAAGGACTAAAGTCAGTGCCAAGACTTCACTGTCACACTAAGGCTGTGCCATACATCAAGGGACCTTCGCTTTCATAACTTTCAGGGAAGTAGATGGTCAACAAAAGTAGTTTAAATCCAGTAATAGTTTGTTACCTGCCCATCAGTTGTTCAAACGTTCTTTCCATTACTTTCTGAATTCCAAGGCGATCAATATCCCTCATGGAAAAGTACTGGATGTCAAAGTTCTTCAAAATATAGCTGCCAAAATAATTTTAAAACAATCGTTACTGATCTAAGCTTAAATCTAGCAATCCTTGTACACATGATGTCAAGCTCATGATTTCAGCCTTTACAAAAATCCTTTAATCTCAACCAACTTACTATTCAGCAACAAACCAATGTACACGATATCAGACGCCGAAAGGCAAGGCTTTACCCAGGAAAAGCCAGGAAGCTGTGGGACCTGCAAGCAAAGAGTTGGCACTAGGTTAATGACATCTATAACAAAACTATATGTAATGCTTCCCTCAAAAATTTGTATTTATTTATAGCATCCTTTCTCTGTCCAAACAGAGAAACCAGAGTTTGGCTTCCTGAGTCCATGCCTTCATTCCTCTATTCAACTAGGGTAAAGTGGTAAAACTACCTGAGTTGAATATTAATGGATGAAGTTTTTAACTCTTCCACATTCTCCAGTTTGAAGAGGAAGAAGAACAAAAACCCCAAATCCACAAGCAATAGGCAATTAGCATCAGTGAGTGTAAGGGATAATGATAAGAAATTAGATACTCAGATGTCATCACTTACACAGTGCATTTAATGGTAATGCTGCATAACTTACCCAGTACATCATGCTTAAATGGAAGAATAAAAACCAAGGCACTTCTGTTTTTTAGGAGAACCACCAAAGTTATGCAAACTTTGTTCCAAAAACACATTAAAGGTGGAGAAATTCAAAGTGGGAAGTTAAAAAAGAAATTTAAAAAGCAGAGCAGGACAAGAAGTTGGGTCTCCACACTGGGCTACTTCATACTGGTTTTTAATGTACAACTAAAGAGAACAGGTCTAGGACAGCAACTGGAAGATTATGAAGTCACCATTTTTGAGCCTTGATAATTAAGTAGTCATGGTATGCAATTATAAAAATTATTCAGTTAGTAATATTTACTAATTTTAGGAGTGCTTTAAATTAACTCAAATTTCTCTTCTTCCCGTCCCAGCCCTGAAAATGGCTACAGCCAACACAGCTGTCAAGCAGCATGAAGGCTTTGTTTCCCTCTTACATTTCTCAATTACTAATTATGTTCTGGTTACAATATTAGATTTGTTTGTATACATAGTTATATTTAACTACATTGAGATTAAATTAGCACAGAGTATAAAAGTGTGTTACTCTTGGGCAATGACCTGAAACTTATCCGGTCATGAATTCAGAAGGATAAATGAACTGGACACCACTAGGAAAAAATAATTTGGGTTTCAGAAACTAATATCTGCAAAACCCATCACTATACCATAAACCAAGCACAGGCTTTGTAATATTGTCAGATACTCTCTACTAGTGATTCAGGTTTAATATTGCCACTTTGAATTGCACCTCTTTGGCTTTAAATAAAGAAAACAGAATGCCTTAAGTGCCTTTGGCAGGCTCTGTTTGTACATTGTGGCATCAGAAAAGGAGTTGCTGATAGTGAAGGCAAAGGTGCAGCTGTTTTCATGGTGAGGCACTAATAGTAGTTTGTGAGTTTGAGTGGCTCCAGGAGCCCTGAAGCAGTCAGGAAAGGAGGGCAGTAAATTTTTTTGTCCCATTATCAACTCAACTGCTGTCTTGGATGAGAGTGAGGCACATGCACTTGTGTACACATAAGAGTTCACTCCAGAGTCAGACAGGTAGCCAGACAAGCTGTTTTCTGCTACTGCTGTTAAAAAATGTATACAGCTGTAGAAGTCTTGTTGTAGCAGCAGGACCTGTGTTGGTTTTCCTCCCTCTAAACAGGAATACCATACATTAAGAAAACCCCCTGAAGGAGTGCACATGCCTGTTTGTGTAGCTGCACATCCAGGCTGAGGGGTTAGATGCTTCTGCATAGATGCCCTGACAGCTGGAACGTAGGTGGGCTCGTGATGAGAGCTCACAGCCAGCACCATGCCTCAGCAGCTTGGCTCTAAGCATAGCCTAATTATACTTTCTTCACTACTGCTGCTGGCACGAGGCCTGTTCCCCACTGACCTCAGAAAGCTCACAGTATTCTATCAGTGCCTCTAAAAAAAATAAATTACTGCTTTTCTATGCTGCTCAGAAACCAGAGCACAGCAGACCAGAGGTCAGTAATATATACACAAGAAGCCAATTTCTCCTCCTTCCTCAGCTATCAAAGAACTTGGTTTTGTTCTGGTTCCACCAAGACAAACCTGTTCA